TTCAAATGTTGTAGGATCCATTCCCATGAGCTATAGTTCTCATTATCACATATGCCAAAGGCAAGAATGAAGATGTCGTTATTTGCATTTAGTATGCAAACTGTGAACAGAGTCCCTCCGTAACTTCCTCTTAAGTACGTCCTGTCTATTATCATTACAATGCCTCAAAACTATGTAGGGACCTATTACATTCATCAGTTTCTATTCTTGTTAATGAACCTCGGTTTGTCACCTTGAGCATATGTACGTAGGGGCCGGTAGCTTCCCATAAAATAGATCGGGACTTTCCAAGCATTATCATATATTCCATAGGTGTTCATGTCCTTTATAATGTCAAGAAGGGTGTATCTTGTTCTTGAAGAGAGGAATTTGTACTTGATACAATTGGCAATGAAGGAACAAGTTGCAGGTCTTCTCGATATTTCTAATCTTGAACATTTCTGTAATTTCTATTTTCCGATGACCTATAACGCCATTTGCAGCTATCGTCCAAACACTTCAGTTCATTTTTACCTGATTTATGAACTTTGAATTGAAACCTCTCATGAATTGCAGACAATTCCAAGCTGTCACTTATTTCTGCCTATTGCGACTTTTTAAACCCATGGATGTTAAGATGCGATATGACTTCATAAGTAATATCCATATCTATTTCCTGAGGTCCTGTTAGTCACAAAGATCAGATCCCATTTGCTCAATTGTAGGTTGTTCTGGAATCACTGGATCATATGGACATCCCTTGTTTTGAAATTCTTGAATCCACATGGATGGATTAGGTAGCTTATATATTGATGTTGTGAGGTGGATCACTTAAATCCACTTGGCACATGATGGTTGGCCTTGTGTGCTTGAAAATAATTGTGCTATTTGATATGTATTATGGACCATATATTCATTGTCATTCCGGTGGACGACGGTGCATGATCCAATATGGTACAAATCTGAGCTCAATATCACAAGACACATTGGAAGTGAGGTTGAAGAAGATTTGAGTCGATTGGTTTGGGTTTTGTACACTTTGAGTATTTTGTTTTCCGCATTATAGTTGTAATAAATCATTGTACACTACATTATAAACTATATCGAGGGTTCGATTTCTCTTGTTTTGAGCAGCTGATAGCAGCCACTGCTACAAATTCAATATCCACAAAAATTGGAAGCTTTGGCAATTCTTTATCATTCTTCATCTCTAGATAGAATTTTACTGAATTGTCGTGTGGCCCCCTTTTTAATAACCTGGTATTGCATTGCTACTGCATATCTTGATGAATCCACATTCAACTTTTTCATAACCAATCCAAAAAATTTCATATATTTACAGTCTAGTGGAACAAGTGTTGTGACAGATGAATAATCTCGGTACTCTTTCGACTACTGCAACCCATTTGTGCAGCTGCGGTATGGTAACATAACTCGTTACCAACGTCGAATGTGTAAAGGATTTCAGAAGATCAAATAAAACCAGAATTCTATATGGATCTTACCAGTTCATCAATCCAACTATTAATTTATCACCAAACATTGCATGAGCCAACTAAAGTTATTATTGGTTTCTGGCGATTAACAGTTCACATATTTTTTTTCTCAAATAATAATTCTTTAATTCCAATTGCCCATAAAACAAATTCTCAGATATTACCTTCAGAGACGATAATCCATGAAATAGCAGAAAAAATTCAATTGTATATTAGATCAAATATCGGCAACGGGTCTGCAAAAATGCACCTTGAAAGGGTTTGGGAAAACTTCGAACCCTTGGAAATTTTGAATGTGAATTTCATATCATCTTCCGAGATAATTTCTACTATTTTTCAAATTACGGGCCTGTTTGGTAGGGATTCTCATTTTCTACAGTAAATTAATTTTCATTTTCAACCACACATTCTTCAATAAAATTTAATTTCTACTATTTTTCAAATTAAAATTTTATCTGGATCTTAACATATTATCAGGTTTTGATAGGTAATTTCATATCAAATTAAAATTTTTTTCAATTTTTTGTTGTTTGCACCACGTTAATTTATTACCCTTACTTATTGAGCCATGTGTGACAATTATTATTTAAAAACTATTTTTTAATATTTTATACACTCGAACAAATTTTTTATCTTTGCTCCCTATTTTACTTTTTCCAACATTCATTTATTGTTTTTGCCTCATTTTTAATTAATATATATTTTAAGATTTTATTTACTAAAATATTTTATATGATATTAATAATTTAAATAGTAAAGTATTGAAACTTGCGATACTATTAAACGCAACTTTTATAAAACATAAATAGAGTTTGTATTCGACTCTATAAATGTAGAGAGTCAAACTCACTCTGCACATTAAAAAATCAAAATAAAGAGCCTTTTTAAGTTAACTCTTTAAAATAAAAAGTATTTCAATTTTAAAGATTCTCTTAAATATGCTTTGAATACTTAATTATAGTAGACCACATGCTTTACTTTTTGGGCTCTTTTAAAATTAAGGCCAACATGGAGATTATTAATTAAGAAGCAAACAAATTAATTAGAGCTCTCCAACAAATTAATTAGAGCTCTACAGCCACACTTTTAACTTATTAACTATTTTAATTATTAAATCATGGCCACCCTTAGCAGCCTAATATGTTGTTTTTTTTTTTTTTTTTTACTAAGCAATTTTAAGGAGATTGGTTAACCCATAGCTAGACAATGGTCATCGTGATCATCCATTTATAAAAATTATCTATGTCATAGCTTAATGAAAAAACTACAATCAACTTGTACGTGCTCAAGTACAAATTAAGGCAAAACTAAAGATTAGCACCATGTTTGGTAGAGATTAAAATTATATTTTAAGTAAATTTTGATAAAAGTAGATGAAATGTATGCTTAAAATTAATGTTGACTTTGATTTAGATTAAAATCTAGATTTTAAACTCTACCAAACAATGGCTGAACTTTCAAATGGATAATTCTAAATTTTTAACGGCTTTAGAATGACTAAACATAGAATTATTCTTCTTGGAGTGCCGGCCCCACTGGTATTTCATCCAATAAGGGGAGTGTCGGGTGTCCATTATGGACACCCTTATGTACATCCTGATGTACTTGTAGCAAAGCCTCTAAACTTATACATTATGATAAAACAGTAAATGGTTAACTGATAGACACAAAATTCTATTGTGGTGTTTCTTAAAATTCAATATGTACAGACATTGACCAAAAATGT